GCCGATCACCTCAATACCGAAGCTCCGGCTCGGGTGCAAGATAAGATATTGCAGATCGAGCTTAGTGCGTTACGTCAGTCTATCTTCACAGAAGACGGCGTGAGGACGACTGAGGCCTACCCCGAAGGGGGAGACCGAGTGGATTGGGTAGACACGTCAAGTCAGGTAGCTGACTGTTTGACGAAATCGATGAAACCTGATTTTATAATCAAGGTTCTGAACAGTGGTGTATATACGACTAGCCGTGAGAAGCTGTAAGAGTAGTTTGCAGACGCTACTTGCTGGACATACCTAGTATGTACCTTTGTAGCTGAGTAAGCCGCAGACATCACCTGCAGGGGAACGATGCACATCGTATCCCAGTGATTAATTAACTTACTCCCTGGATCTCATGATGCGAGAACAGGTTGAGTGTGAACTCTGCTTGATTGTGAACCGCAGTCATGAGATGCATGTACATGATTGTGTATATATCTGCTGCCATAGGGCCCTTGAGTCATACAGAGTAGCTGTGCAGTCTTGGCGAAAAAGGCGGCACCAATTCTGAGTGAGTTCAGAGAATGCTTGGAAGCTTGGAAGATGCAGATGCGCTCACGCTATTGTCGTTCCTGACATGCCTCAATATTTTTTTATGCCTGTTTTCATGTTGATGCCCCGTGCTCTAGCATCGAAGGATGCCGCATGTTTAGTAATTTAGAGTAGCAGACGTCAGGGTCAAAGTGCCTGGGTGCCGACAAAACATCTGCTGCCTCTTTGCATGCTCTACGAGCGGAGGATGCCGGTGCTGAATACCACAGAGCATACGAGTTTGGTGTGAACCTTGTCTTTGCAGCAGGAGACTTATTGTCGCGGTAACATTGTCGCAATGGTAAACTCGACGGCGAGGAGGGTGGAAACGGTGTTGATCCTCTGATAATGATTGGTGAGTGCAGATTCTGACACAGCATGTCCCGTTTCAAGATGGTCTTTTCAAGTGTTTGCTTCGGCTGGACGCGAATGTGCACCCTGGCTTTCGCTGCAGCTTCTTTCATTGCGATCGCCCTCGTGGCTGCATGCTGGCCCCAGCCTTATTTTAGCTGTGCTTGCTCCTTTCTCGAAATACGGACTTTGAGCTTTGCATCGAATCATGTCTAGAAGGACGTCTTGCCACGTCTGTGATGCTTATCCGGAGATTTTTCAATAACACACATGATGTGACTTTGACTTTGGCAACTCCTCCAAAATCATAAGGCACGCTGGCGGCGAGCGCTTGTTTCTCTCTGCCTCCCAGAAGACAGGTGCCGGACTCCGATCCACTCTGGAATGATGGCGCTCTGCTTTGGATTCGCAGATAGGGACTCAATTTCTCCCCAAACCGTCTCGAGGCTCTCTGCGGGCCCCGCCGACGCATGGAGTTCGCGCTCGCTACCCATGCATCAATTGTAGCTTCAAAACAGGCTGTTGTCATTCGGGCCGTTCCTAGACTATGCCTAGCAACGGTTGCAAAAGTTGCTTCGACAAGGCTTTCACTTGTAATTGTAAACGCTCACGCCGTCGTTGGTCCAGTCGCAGGTGAAGGGTTGTACCAGACGACGAATGCGGCAGGGGGTGGGGGGGGTGGGGGCGGGGAGGAAGCAGTTGTTGCCAAAGAGTTTGTGAGCAAATCAGAGGTTCCCTGAAAAATGGGTGGGTCGCTGCGGAGGGAACTAGAGCAGAAGAAAAAGGTTGGCTGAGGCGAATTGGTTTTAAATGTTTTGGAATTGTTAGATTCATCGAAATGACTTTGATCGAAGCCTGCAGAGGAGAAGGGACTAACACGTCTCGAAAGTTTGCCGAATGCTTGTAGCATCGAGGCTGAGGACATCAAGGTTGTGCGCTCCTCGTCAGTGCCTGAAGCCCAGTTTTTTCAACGACAGACGCGCAGCTTTCTTGTCGTTGTCCATTCGCAAGCGCAGCCAGCGACTTGGGCAAGTGGTTCTGTGCCTGCCTTAGGAACTATTTGGCGCTCTGTGCCACGGCTTTGAGTGTTTGCACCTAAGAGTCTCGGTCCACAGTCGTATGATCATGAGCTGCTTCAAGCTTGCAGCTTGCAGTTGCGTCGTGGCTTCACCTTTGAGGCCGCCGTGCTGGTTCGACGCAGTCCCCCAAAGTCGCGGCCGCGCGTTCGGATCCAGGTCAATACCAGTGTCAATCCCTTGCTACCAACCTCTCCTGCCGCCACTTCCTCTGTGCTGCTTTCAGAAGTAAGTACGCAATGCGAAGAATGCAGCATGTGCCTGACAGGCCTGCCAAAACTGTGCCACACCATCCATGCAGGCCAACGCCAAGTGCGATATGCCGGCCAGCTCAGCTCTGCTCACGCCTGCATGCGTCATGTTGCAGGCCGGCACGACTCTTCCAATCTCAATCGACTCCATGGATTTCTTGGGAAGTTGGGTACTTAAGCTTTGCCAACCGGATGCCAGATTCCATGATTTCTTCATGCCGTCAGCAGTGATACATGCTCGGCTGCTGTCGGATCGATCTTGCAAGGATGAGGGACGAGCACAGACACACCGACACAAAACCATGCTGGACAACAGGATCATGTAGGCCTTCCCGCTGTAACTGCAAGCAAAGTGCCAGGCGGTTCCATACCTTTAGCCATTGCAAGGAGGGCTTGCATACTGAAGTAACTGTAGTGTTCCCGCTGCTCCGCTGTATGGCAAACATGGCCCCAAGCCCGACGGTCGACGTGCTTTGCGATTTGGCTGGGGTACGGAAGTTTCGAGGATGTTGTGCAGGCTGAGGCATAGCTGCAGAAGGCGGAAGTCTAGCGCTTTTGGGTTTCGTCACGGTTAGCGGCTAGTCGCAGTAGATAAAAGCGACTCTACAACTCTAACACACAGGAGGATGAGGTGGGTCTCGAGTGTTGCTGTGCTGAGCGGTTCCAAAAGTGCAAAGCTTTCCTGAATCTCCGACTTCACCGAGGTGGTGCGTGTTTTGAGGCCTTGCGGCAAGGCCGACAATCAACATGTGGCTGTTGCTGGTGACACCATGTGACACCGATACTGCCTTAATAAGTACCGAGCAAACCAACACGCTGCTTTTTTTACACCCTCTCCATGCCGATGGCTCCGGACGGAGCTCACATGCAGTGTACGTGTCCAGCAGTTGCTTGAAGAGAACTGGTGGTATCCGTACAGTGAACCCGTGTGTGCCAGGACGCGCAGGCAACAATCGACTGCTTTAGCTCTCTCGCCTTCATTCCAACATATTCTGTAACCACGTCGCTAGCCGTCACTGTCGACCCTGTTGCGGGTACACCACTGGGTAAACCCATTTCCCAACACCTCCATCGTTTCGGTCGTGCCGTCACTGCAGTCGAGAAGGCTACTGATTTTGCGCGATGCCTTCCGGGGGGCTGAGTGCCATGAGCCAAAAGGTGGCCAAAGTAAACTAAAAGCCAGAGCCAAGAAAAAGGAGGGCCCAGGTTGGCCGGAGGAAGCCTATGGATGAGGATGAGGGACTGAAAATTTGCGGCCGGCCAACTGAAGGCGAGCATAATTCTTGCCGCTCTGTCCTCTCAGCGCCGTGAGGCGGCCACCATGGCCATAGCGTGCCATGGCCCCCGATCGAGCAAGAACATGCAGCTTTGTTGCTGCTTGGCGGTGCCTGGCACCTAGCGGGCCTGATCAACGGCTCCGAACAAGTGGACCTGATCAATCACATTTTTCGGAAAAGGCCGATCATGCAGGTCCGAATTCCATGCAAGACCTCAGCCGCCAAAGGCAGTGTGTGTATGTGTGTTGCCTCAACAACATGCCACGGTCTTGTGTCGCCAAAGCTTCCGACCACAACAGGTTCCTGCAAATTCCTGTATCATGCTGTCGATAATTGATCGTGTCGCTGACAGGGTTGCCCGTGCGAGAGCAGCTTCTCCTTCGCGCGACTTGTGCAACCACGAAAGCTTGTGGCCTGCCCGAAGGATGAAGCGACAGGAACTTCCACAGGTTTGCTTTCACGGGCTTCCCGCCTTTTCCTTTTGTGTGACCTCAGGTCTGTCTGACACCTCGGTCTTTTGGGACGAGGTCTTTGCTTCCCGAGCGAGCCGCGGCGCAAAGCGTGGAGTGCTCGCTCAATGGCTGGACTACAAAAGGCCTGCGGCCTAAAAAAGCGTGATGCAGCGTATATCGCAGCGATTCAAATTCCAGGTGGTACCACCGTGCCGTCACACAAAGCCGCGCGCTGCGGCTTCGGCGCCTTTTCGCTGCACTTCGTGGCCCGGTGCTTCCGCAACAGGCCTGAGCGGCGGGCATAGACATTGATGACTTTACGTAGTTCGCTGGATGTGATTTTGACCTGCGACGTCCCAGTTTCTGGACGCCGTGCGCGCTCGTCAGCGCCAAGCGGCACAGCGCTGTTTGAAGGCAACTGGGCTTGTTGCAGGTCAGAGATGCGTGGAGTCATGAGAAGTCCAACACGTTCGGTGCTGTAAGGTTGTCACCAGAGGCGAAGTCCAAAGGCTCTGCAACACACAGCAGTCACACAGGGAACAGCTCCTGTGAACATGATCGATCAAATCAGAAATCTCCGCGAGCTCTCAGTGAGTTTCACAAGAGCACTGAGAGCTATAGCGTCTCGAGGAGCGTGTCCACGAACTGCAGGACATTCGGGACAATGCTGTCTGATGTCCAACGTTTTTCGAAAATGATTTCGATCGAGGCGTGCCCTCAGACGGGAATCTAGCGAGGGCGTGCGTCACGGCAGGAGGATTGACATGGCGAAAGACTCCAGGAGGTTGATGGAGGAACTGTCGCAACCGCGCGTGCAGCTCTAGGAGTGACGGATTAGCAGAGGTCGACGCCCCGGTGCTGCCGATGAACCAGGGATTTTCGTCGGTTATTGTGAGAGGTGCGGAAGTGAGGCTAAAAACCTGGAAGACCAGAACATGTGTCGGCTCATGTCGGCTTACGGGATCTTTGGAGCACCTCCGCAAGCGCGTCTTGCTGTCCTGCATTGGCTCAGGAGCTGCGGGCTCAGCGAGCAATTCGCCAAGATGCCGTTCGCAGGGCGCGATGGGGCAACATGCCGAGTGCTCGTGTTCGACTACTAGTGTTCCGCTCTGAAGCTGGCTGCCGAATCCTGGCGAGCAAGTCACATCGGACGCATGTAACCAGTGTTCGAAAGAACTTGCAGTGCGGACGGCGAAGTATGCTGTAGGGCGATGTTGGGTGTCCTGCGCGTCGGGTGCAGTTTCTAAAGTCCAGGTTGTGAGCATTAGCAGTTCTGCGAGCTTCGTACCACAGTCTGAGAGAGTTTGAGTTTGGGCGCGATTTGCTGGTCGCCGGCGCAGGCCCTGTGCGCTCCTTCAGCTCTTGAGCTGCAGCGACAGTGAGCCTTAGCTTGCACGGGGCACTCGTGTTGATCACAGATTGCCAGACACGCGTCTGACACTTCACATGTCCTCCCCTCCGGCCCCTCCCAAAGCTGTTGCTGGACGGCCTTCGCCGGCTGAAAGTCGTGTTTTCACCTTCATAAGGCCTACAGGCCCTTGCTTTGGCACCATTGGTGCGCCGGGCCTTCCAACAGCTTCGCAGCTGCCAGGGGCTAAGCCTACTGTGATCTCAGGCGACTTGCGAAGATGTTCAATATTAGTTCGATCGTCTTGGAATCTTTGTTGGAGAACCGTACAGCACCGTGATTCGCGGGCTCGTTGCCCGAACTGCCCGGAGCGATCCAAGTGTGATGTGACGATGCTCCTGCACTGCAGGTTCAGCAGCTCCCTGAGGCCTGACATGGGTGCGATGCGGCCGATACGGTGCGCTCATCATTGTGACAAAGTGTCGCCTTGCTCCTAGCGACAGCCATGTACGTGCTGATACATGCGAAACCCTGCAAGGTCAGGCTGTTTAATCGTTGTCTCGGTGACACTTTTTGCGATCTTTTTGCACAGACCCACCTCGGCCAGATCGTCAGGGTGAGCGAATTTTCCAGCCGTGCAGCAACGGGTGAGCCAGGAACCGACTGTGATAGAATGACAGAATCTGACATCTCCAACTGGTGTCCCAAGCCGTTGCACGCAGAAAATTTCAACGTCGCCGCACATGCTGTCTCAAGCTGAAAGTTTGAAGATGGCAGTAGACAGTAGTGGCCTCCAGCAGATCGTAACTCAAACGCCAGATCGTTCAAGGGTGTGGCTGTCGAATGCACACGCTTGACGTGTCGGCTTGCTTGTTGGTTCTCTTTGCATGTCACGGTGCATGCTTCTGCATCCCTGAGTGCGTGTGTGGATCATTGCAAGCATCCGTCCGCACTTTGTGGTGTTTGTGTGTGTGTGTACCACTTCTGTTCCGAAGGATGTAGGTGCTCGTAATGGGCAACTGGATGGCCTGGGCCAACGAAGACCCATCCAGTTACCCGTGCGAGCGTACCTGCGATGTACGATCGAAGAGAGACAGCGTAATCAGCTAGAACAAAGAGCATCCATCTAAGTAAGGATGACTGGTCTGCACGTGTGCTTTCCCGACAGTATTTCTGCCAAAGCGCTGTCGGACTCCCTGTCTGCGGGGGATACTGCGAACATCAGGAACCCCTTGAATACATCTGTTTCTTCCTAATGCATGAGCCTTCAGACCTTGGAGATCCCCATGGCAAGGCCTCAACTACCGATGTACCACTGGAGTGCCCATTACTATGACTTATCGATGTGCCATTGGAATACCCTTTGCCCTGACTCAAGCTCCAACGAGCAGCCCAGGTTTCTCCCTTTTTTGTGTTTCTGTTGGTGCCTTCCGTTCGTCTGCGTCACCGGTGTCGTCGTCGTTGTTGTTGCTGTTGTCGTTGTTGTTGTTGTTGTTGTTGTTGGTGGTGTTGTTGTTGCTGTTGCTTTTATTGCCAGTCTAGCCGCCACGGACCAGGCCGCCGCGCAGTTCGAGGCAACAACGGGCTTTGGGCGCAACCTTCTTTCCTAGAGGTTCCAACCGGGCCTCAGGGCAACGTAAGAAGTTGTGCCCCTTTTCGAGCCATG